ACACTTCGTCAAAGACGGGCTTAACGACGAATTTAAGAACATAGATAGAATTAATATATAACCCCATCAATCAATCCCTACCCACATTTGTCCCCCACACCATACAGACATTTTTGCGGGGGGTTTTGAGGCCTCACACTTATACACACACCCATGCTAATATATACACTTACACACATTATACACACTCCCAAAGAACTAAATGATAACATACACTTAACACACACACACATACACACACATATCCCCTTCTCAGCAACCATTAAAACTGTCAAAATGGCCAAGAAAGGAATCCTGAGTCACATGAATCTCCCCAGCCTCTATCTTGAAAACAACTTAAAAGAGGCCGTTTGACCAACACAAGTTCTGACCAAAATTAACAATAAAAAACAAATGAAAACTACAGATAATGTTCATTTTCTTCAGAAAGTCATTCATTCCTGTTGTTCACTGATACTAAGGATTTTGTCTTCTTCTGATGATGGCCATGCTGCACGAAACTAGTCGAAGAATCTAGCTGAAATAATAAAACAAAAAAACATTAATATACAACCTAGTGTGTGTGAAAAGTTTAATTTTTAATATTTTTTATAGTTCAAAACATATATATATATATATATATATATATAGTCATCAACAGAGAGACTGTTTCGCAGCTCATCATTGTGGCTAGACATCCGATTGTCTAAAGACGGGATCAAAACCCGACTAATTTGTTATCAGTCGGAGACTTTACCCCTAAGGCATTGGCACACAGCAGGGGGGAAGGTGAATTTAAGACGTATATATTTTCTATATAACCACACCAGTGACTGGGAGAACTCGATTCGTTTTAACGAAGAGTCTTGCATCAGCAGCAGTAATAGTCACTGTTTACAAATTCACTTTTCTCCCCGAGACCTCAACCGAAATAAAAAAATTTTCAGGAGATAAATGGATGTGTGTTTGTGTGTGCATATATATAGATATAATAGGCCGGTGATAGAAATTTGAGAATTCAAAAAAAATGAATTAATAATATTGATAATAAGCCTAATATTATTTATTATATATTCGTGGGTCTTTTAACAAAATAGCGGCATGAAAAAAAGGTTTTATAAATTCGAAAATATTCGAACACTCTTGTCTTTTCTCGGCGAGACGAGAAATAAAAAAAAATGAAACATTGAAGAAGGATTTAATTTCCGGGGAATTTGTTTTTGTTTTCGCTTCTGTTATAGGGGGTGGGTATAGGGTGTATCATCAGTGGTACCTCTTTTGCAGCGAGGGGGTCGACGTTGCTTTCTTTACTCACACGAATTGGGATGCGAAATTGTACTGGTCCACGGCCTACACCCAACTCTCACACATGGCCACATGGCTACTGTGACGGACACACCCTGGTCAACGGCATCGACCTGCCGGCTAAACTGTGTGCAGGTAGACGGAAGAGTTCCCGACCGGTGAAAGGGAACGCTTCTCCCCAACCCACCTGTGACAAGAATCCCTCGGCCAATCACCAGCCTAGGAATAAGAGATGCTGCGTCTCCATAGGTCAACATCTTTACCAGTGGGTGGAGGAATTTCTGAGAGGAGAGACATGTTGACATCAACATCGCCATTGCACGATTTTAACTTGAATATCACAATAATCTGCAATTATGGAGAGGAGGGGTGACTGTAGTGGCGCAAAATGAGCTAGCTGATGATGATGATTGTGTTATATTAGCATAAGAGACCTGATAATTTTGGAATCGTTGTTTGTCACGATAGAGGGTTTGCAGAAGGCCTCTGTGGAAACTGTATTCATTGAGCATACCCAAATTCATATTTAAATCTACAATGTGTGAATTCATTTTAAAAATGTTTTTTAACTGGGAATTTCAGCAATTTTGTTGTCATTTAAATATTGGAAAGGGCACATCTAACGCTATCAATACTAAGTTGGTTGAAATATATAATAAAATAAAATAAAATGTGCAAGACAGAATTATATATATATATATATATATATATATATATATATATATATATATATATATGTATGTATGTATGCATGTATATGTATGTGTGTGTGTGTGTGTGTGTGTGTGTGTGTGTGTGTGTGTGTGTGTGTGTGTGTGTTGTGTATATTTAGGAAGCAATTTTTCATTGATGCATGTTTCCTTAAATGATATAGACAAGTTTTATCTATTTATTCTAAATAAGTTCCTTTCATATTTTCTGCTAAGCTTAACAACATTATCATTGAAAGACGGAAGCAAATCACCATATTGATACATGTTTATATCCAATCTAAGCTTTCGACTTACATAAGCAATTATCAAAGATGACAATTACATTGTAATATATTAAACAATACACGGACGAAACAATACTAAGAGTCTGTTTTTGTTGCATGAAAAATTTCAAAGCAACGACAACCTCGTGTATCCGAGACACGGAAGCAGAAATCCCGTCAGATCTCGTGACGTCCCACATGACCACGCGAGAGTGAAAATGAGACGTATTATGTATGGGAAGCCGCTAGTATATACCAATGGCTTCTGTTATCAATTATAGGCATTAAAGAATATTTGTGGAGATTTCGTAGTTTGTTTTGTTCAGGTTAGGTTTTAATCGTTTTATGTAAATAGCTTCAAGAGTTTTTAGTTTTTGTATATTGTTTTCAGATTTAAGTATAGTAGTGTTTTCAACAAGGATTTTCCAGAATTGTGTGTGCGGCCAGGCATGTTGTGTTAAATGCCTAAAAATGTTAGAGTTATCATTTAAATGTAGAGTGAAGTGTCGTGAAAGCGAGTTTGTGGTGTGACCAACATAAATATTATTTAATGCATTAGAGACAAAATCTCCCAAAGGGCACTTGAATTTGTAAACATGTGAAATGAGAACGAATAGAATCCAATTCCGACGTTCGTAACATTCAAGGCTCGGTACAAAAGTAGAGCAATATTCTTTATTTTAGGATATTACATCAACAACATGTAAAATATGCTACACAAATGCAATCAGGTTTCGATGCGTATTAACACATCACTCGTTAGTTATTTACTAACGTCTGATGATATGTGTCAATACGAAACGAAGCATGATTGCATTTGTCGAGCGCTTTTTACATATTTTGATGTAATATCCTAAAAATATATATATATATATATATATATATATATATATATATATATATATATATATATGTGTGTGTGTGTGTGTGTGTGTATCGCTAATTGAGTGCTGGAGTTAATAAAAAAGTGTGCTCAATGCAATATAACAGAGCTATGAACTATATATTAAAAAATATAAATATTTATTCTTACTGCTTGCACGACTCGGATTTTCATGTATTGGCATATTATATATATATATATATATATATATATATATATATATATATATATATATATATATATATATATATATAAAGGATGCATATAATGTAATTAATATTGTGGTTCGGTTTGAAATAAAATATATATATATATCTTACTTATTATAAAACGCAGATTGTGTGTGTGTGTGTGTGTGTGTGTGTGTAACGTTTATATATTGGATCGGATTTCCTACATTTTTCAACCGATTTCAACAAAACTTCACAGGACTACATAAAATTACTTTGTGGTGGTTCTAACAGCGCCAAAAAATGGGAAAAATATAATTGTTTTTGCACAAAATCAATTTGAAAACACGATTAAGAGACATCGTGAAAATTGAAGGGGGACAACTCACATCGGGTTGTTTGTGTGTGTGGGTTACTTTAAATATGGGAGCGGATTTCCTATATTTTTCAGCCGATAAAACAAAACTTCACCTTTTTTTTTTGGCAGGTAGTGTTTCTTATTCTCTTGCACACTTTTTTCTTTATTTTTACCATTCAGAATGCTTTAAAAATTCCATTTACAAGACAATTATTTATAATAAAATTCTATTCAATCAGTAGACTCATAACGATTGAAAACAATGTTTTTGTTTGAGTTTGACCAATTCGTAAAAAATAAAAATAAAAAAAAAAAATTAAGACATGCGTGTCCGTCAACCTTAAACAACAATCTAACGATCTATACTGATTGTACGAATACAAACATAAATTCTTTATCTTTAGGGAAAGATAATGAAATCTAAACATACACAAGTCCTAACTAAAAATAATAACCGGAACGGGAAACTACTTTAAATACACATGGTGTCCAATTTTTTTTACTGTATTCAATAAGTAAAAATCATAAATTATCATAAAAAGATTATTATTACAGAAAGGCTACTAAATGAATAAGATTTGTTAGACCATAATTAATAAACCCAAATAAAGTTAATATTTTTTGTATTAGAAACAACGAGTGGAAAATATATTCAAATCAGAATTCTAATTATGAATCACCACAAGCAAAATATTCATTTTTTACTGTATTCAATAAGTAAAAAATCATAAATTGTAAAACTAAAAGATTACAGAAAGGCTACCTACATTTTCAACCGATTTCAACAAAACTTCACTTTTTTTTTGGCATGTAGTGTTTCTTATTGTCTTGCACACTTTTTTCTTTATTTTTACATTCAGAATGCTTTAAAAATTCCATTTACAAGACAATCGTTTATAATAAAATTCTATTCAATCGGTAGAGACTCATAACGATTGAAAGCAATGTTTTTGTTTGAGTTTGGGTTTGACCATTTCGTAAAAAAAAAAATAATTAAGACATGCGTGGCCGTCAACCTTAAACAATAATCTTTGTCAATTTTATTTTTCAGTCTTTATGATGGTGGATACTTGATCTATCTCTTTGTTATATCCCCGGGCAACGCCGGGCTCTACTACTATATATATATATATATATATATATATATATATATATATATATATTTGCCAATGCATAAAAAATCTGAGGTCGTGCAAGCGGTAAGAATAAATATATATATATATATATATATATATATATATATATATATATATATATATATATATATATATATATATATATATATATATATATATATATATATAAACGATGCATCTAACGTAATTAATATTATGGTTCGGTTGTTTGAAAATATATATATATATATAGAGAGAGAGAGAGGAGAGAGAGAGAGGGAGAGAGAGAGATAGATAGATAGATAGATAAAAAGCGAAAGAGAAAAGAAAAGGAGAAAAATACAAAAGAGACAGTGCGAAAAGAAGAAAAAGAAAAAGGGAGAAAAAGAAAGAAGAAAAAAGAAAAAGTGGGAATGAAAAAACAAAAAATAACAAAAGGGGGGCGAAAAAAAGAAAGGGAAAAGAAAAACCTGGAAAAATAGTTTTTGGTATATACAATTAGGAGAAAAAAATATTCGTACACATAAAAATTTTTAAATTATTGTATTTCCAACTAATGAATAAACCTACTTTTCATATAATTAACTGTACACAGATGCATAATAACTAAATATGCATAGAAAACAGAAAATTTGATTTAATAGAAATAAATCCCATTCATCCATTTTAATGGGTGAAAAAAGTATTCGTACAATACAAAAAAGAAGACACGATCTTCATTTAATACTTTGTAGAATCGCCATTATTCACTTCTACAGTACAGCGACGAACCTTTTCTCCTAGTTCTCAATTAATAATTTTCAAATTATATTTGGTATTTTGTTCCATTCTTCTTCGTATATGGTCTTCAGATCAGAGATGTTTGTTGCAGTTCTCGATTGGATTTGAATTTTCAAATAACGCCACAGATTCTCGATTGGGCTTTAATCTGGGGACTGATATGTCAATTTCAGGATATTTGTCTATACTTCTGAGATGAGGTATTATGTATATTATTTACATTATTTGGACTATTGTCCTCATCTTTGTCAGTGAGCGAAATAAATCGTTCAGTTCGACATTCCAACCACCTGAAAAAGGCCGGAGCGTACAACGGCCGAAACGTTGTAATAAATATGGCGACAAAGATGAAAACGATAATCCGAATAATGTAAATAATGTTCAGGATATTTATATTACTTTTTAGCAAGCCATTTCTTTGTAGAATTTTTAGTGTCCTTAGTATCTCAAAAACTAAACTTGTAACGTTCCATAATCACCGATCAGGCTGGAGATTTCGATCTATTGCAGTGATCGTATGTTCTCTCCAGGAGGCATCTTGACTTGATTGCCTATTGGCACTTAAGCTCACCCCAGACCTTAAGGCGTACGGTCACATCATGTTGAAAGACCGGTTCATGTACGATCACCGAAGCCTGGTTAGTACCTAGATGTGTGACTGCTTGCAAATACAAGGTGCTTTAAGCTTGGGTGTGTGGGTGGCGTAATGAATAATGGTTCAGAATTGTTAATCGGAGTGCCGAGTTCCAATTCGTTATATTCACTTACACGCATATAATTTGGGAAAGGTATGAATTCACCACTTCTCTCCAAGCGATGGGTTAATTAGTAAAATTTGTATAATAAACTAATTATTACTTCCCCAGCAAAAAATAAATAAATTCTTAAATCTACAAATATTATCTGACTTTAAACCCTGTGACGTCAGGTGGCTGCCCCAGGCTCTGATGTCCTGGTCACGGCGTCGATTGTGACGTCGTCCTCCGGTCGCAGCGTCGACTGTGTCGTTCTATCCTGATCTACCACGGCGCCAGTTGTGACGTCCCTAACAGCACCACCAGACGTCTTCGCCGCGGCGTCAGCTGTTCGCTCCTCGCTGCTCCAAACGTGACGTTCTAACCCTTTTATGATCCGGCTAGGAATCTGGTTAGATTGATACCAGCCTCGCCGTTCCCAACCTGCTCCCAACGCCTGGTTACCAGGGTAACTGCACTGATCTCCAGTCTGCCTACCCACGTTGTGAATTGATCTTAGACAGACGAGATCAAACAGGGGTTGAGGCCGTAATGCAAGCTGAGTTCAACGGGGGTGATAACACACAATTATGTATAAAATAAAATAAAATGAAAACTCACAAAGTCCAAAGTATCAAAGAAAAAGGTAACAAACTTTTATGTCTATTTGTTCGGTACATAGGACTATGTCTACTTCCCGACCCGTTCTGTGGATTGTGGCACGACGCTTTTACTAGGCAACTTTAAGGCTTCAAGTTGTCTGCTCTCTAAGAAATTTGTGTTTCGGTGTGTCTTTGGACGAAAGTCGAAAACTTATTTCTGTGGTCTGATTCTAAGTCGCTCTTCAAACTACTTGTTCTTGGTTGAAGAAGAGTCCAAAAAGTGTGCGTGAATCTTGGTCAGCTATCTTGACGCGGTTTCAACACTGGGCGCTCATCTCTGCTTGTCGTCCAAGATTCAAAACTTCTCGCCAGGGTCCGCGGCTGACTCAAACTTCTTCTCTCCAGCTTGGGTCGAACGAACTTCTTCCCTTACTGTGCCTCTGAGGGGCGTGTACCAACTTCCCCACTTCTGATAGAGGCGTCGACTGATTTTCTTCGTGCGTCACGTGACTGCTCTTGGCCAATGAGGTCTTGGTCGGGTATCTTTCCTCCTCCTTCGTGTGTCATGTGATCTATTTGGCCATTAACGTCTTGGTCGGGTATCTTTCCGCCTCCTTCGTGTGTCATGTGATCTATTTGGCCAATGACGTCTTAGTCGGGCGTGAACAATCCGTGGCTTTGTTTTGGGAAAGCAATACCTTGCTTAAAAAAAAAAATTATTAATTAAATCGCCCTTATCATGAGCGACCGAGATGACACTCTCGGCTTTTTAACACGTGGTATTTGTCAAGCAGTTTATCGCTAATTGGACATGCTCTAAGAAAGGATTTTCCTAGGCTAGCTGGCGTTTTCTGAAGCGAAATAAAAATATTTCATTTTCCTTTCGCTCGAAGGTCTGATAACAAAAATCTTTATTATCGCAGGGCAAGCATTTATTCTGTCAAAAGAAAGAAAAATTTTGCCAGTGACAACATCTTGTGTGGGATTTTTTTTAATTCTGAAGACTGTCTATGTTTTCGTATTAATGGTTTGTTTTCATATCCTTAGATACACTTCCCCAACCACTTAGACCATTACTATCATTCCATTCATTTTCCTTCGGTTCATGTGTCTGATAACAAAATTTCTATTGCCGCGGAGAATCCGGTCGGTGAGAATGCCTGTGTGGGATTTTAATTTTTCATATCTAACTACGGTTCTGTAGCCACACCTGTGTTTTGTCAAAACATTAACGTTTTCAAATGGGCTTTACTTTAGCGAACATTTCTTGACAACACAATTCCATTATCTCTATTTTAGTTATTTATCGAAATAAAAAATTTCGTTCGTTTTTTTTTCTTCTTCTTCTTTTCCTCCTTTCTTTTCCCTTGGGTGACATCCAATTGATAACAAACTTCCATTTTTCGTGGACACGCGGAAATCGGTCAAATGCTTGTTCGTAGGTGACCTGGATATTTTCGACATCTGCTACGTATCAATTCTATCCGTGTGTGTGTGTGCTCGCCTATGACCCGTTTTCGTATATTTTTCTTTTTCTATCTTTCTTCTTCGTTTTCTCTTTCTTTCTCCCAGATCGCTTGAATGTAAAGAAAGAATTATTCTTAAAACCTAAAATATTTTTCGGCCTTAAATAATTATTAAATGGTTGATAAACCGTAAAAAACAAATCATATATCTATGAATATTTCTTTCAAATCGTCAGGTATGCATGGTGCCACAACCCGCAAAGGGTTGATAAACCTTAAAAAAACGAATTAACCAATCAATGAAGTAGACCTCAAATGTAACTCATATCTACGATCCATTGCCGAACATGGTGAGAAAATAGTCTGTTCTTTGAATTACTCCAAGAAGCACTTCATTCATTACAAGAATGACATCATATAGAATATTACTTTCATATACGAGTTGGATCAGACTAATCCTTAGTTTCCAGACATTTCAGAATCGTTTATGCGTCTTTCTCCGGGAATGCTTTATATTCCAATACAGACGCAAAATCCATCGTCTACCACTACTTCAATGCCAAATATTCAGACGAACTCCATTCTTTACAGCCACCAGTTCTGACCATTTTAGCAAAGACACGTTTTGCTACTTACACAGGGCCGAATCTCATTCCTTACGCAAACAGCTATCCGTTAATGAGCTGAGAAACGACATTCTGCTTTCTGTCTGCATGATTGATTCTAACTCCGAAGAGAATGACTCGTTGTCACTTCTCGGGCTAACATTCTCGGTTTACATCAAACGGAAAGACTACACTGTATCGATTGCTAGTTCAGCTGTTAAGAAAGGTGATTCACTGTGTCGTGTTAGACAATTTTTCTCTCCAGAATCTATCTTCCATAATATAAGTCCATCCGTCCATTCTTTTTCTATATATCATGAGATTCTTGATAAAATCCAAAGAAGAATCAGAATTTCAACGCTAACGAAAGGCCGTGAAAGTAATTGCATGTATGTGTCAATAACACAGACTTTGTCTGGGAGATTAGTCTATGTTTTTTTTTGTTTTTTTTTACACTAGCTTGCATGCGACGTGTAGGCGTTTTGATTGACGTGAGAAACCCACATTTTCTTCCTCACAAAGGAATAAAACGAATATTAATATAGATTATCCAGATTTAATGCTCTGAATATTGGACATTAAAAGATACAATGAAAGCAAAATGTTTATAGACAAGAATAATGGAAGAAAGGAATACAAAGTCCTTTGATATAGATTATCATCAATTAAATCTATTTTTCGGAATATTGAACATTCGCAGATATAATTAAAGCAAACGCAAAAACGAAGACATAAAAGGAACAAAATAAAATTTCGAATATATTGTGTCTAGAAATTTGCAGATTGTCTCAAGTGGAACTCATAGATATGATCCTTCGCTAAAGATGCTGGAAAAATGGTCAGTTCACTGTACCACACCAGTAAGTATCTGACTTTTCCTTCCATGCTATACGTTTAAAAGATCCAGCTCTAACAGAAAATGGAGGACTGATGACATATCTGGGGTTGAGTTGGTCAATCTTCTCGTTCAGTATCTAGATGGGTTACTGCTTCGGAATACAAGGTGCTTTAAGCTTGGGTGTGTGGGTGGTGTAATGAAGAATGGCTCAGAATTGTTAATCGGAGAGCAGAGATCCAATTCGCTATATTCACTTCCGCGCATATAATTTAGAAAATTTATGAATTCACCACTTCTCCCCGAGCTATGGATTAATTAGTAAAACATATAACAAAATCCCAGCAAAAAATTAATTATTACAATCTAAAAATATTATCTGACTTTAAACTTGCAAAGGGTTGATAAACCTTAAAAAACAAATTAATCAAGTAGACCTCAAGTGGAACTCGTATATACGACCCATTGCTGAAGATGCTGGAAAAATGGCCGTTTCACAGTACCACACCAATAAGTACCCGACTTTTCCTTCCATGCTCTACGTTTACAAGATCCAACTCGGGCAGAAAATGGAGGAATGATGACATATCGGGGGTTGAGCTGGTCAATCTTCACTTTCCCGTTTTGCTCGAATCCAAATGCGTCAACGGGGCCTTATGGGAGATTAATTATTTTCCACTCTACAGGCCTTTTGTCACAGTGGAACATTGCAAGCCTATCGCTACTCTATCATTATTTCCTTGGAAAATGCTCACCATTTTCAGCTTTACAGCTCAGACTCGCCACACCGTGTACACTGTGTCAAGCCACCCTAATTCTCTTATCGCAGCAGTAAGTTCCATTCAAACAGGTTTTTTTCTACGAACCGCTGTTTTGTGGAACAGGATCCCAAGAGGATGCTTTCCTTTCCCTCCCAATCTTAATCTGTTCAAATCTGGTTTAACCACATATTCTCATAAATTGAACTTCCTATTCTTACCGCTCACGCACCTACCTCCTGCGGTAACCTCAACCTTGACTGAAAGAAAATGATATCTTGCAGGGAGCTAAGTGTAAGAAGAAGCTGACAGACGTGCCAGCCATTATCAGAGTGCTGTGTACATTTCCAAAACACCAGGAAACCAGAGTTGTACTGAAAACAAACAGACTTTTAAGAAGAGTGATAGGGGATTGGTAAAAATACGTAGGTTAGTCGTGAATGGTAAATCAATTTAATAAGTTACAAAGGAAGAATGAGTAAAAAAAAAAATCACCAGAGACGATACGAATCAGAAATGAATAGACTTGATGTCACTTATTTTCCAGTGTTAGCCGCCAGTTTGCATTGGCGTGAACACAATAAATGATTCCTAATAAAAAAAAGAAAATTTTATTTTATTTTTTTACTTTATTTTTTTTTTTTTTGCTTCGGTGAAATTGGAAAATGAAAGAATACATACCACCCCAGAAGTCAAATTCTTACCATTTTTAACGGATGTGACATTTGGAATCACGACATACTTACCCAGAAGCCTTTTAAGTGACTAACATCAACTATTCATTCGATTCTTTGTCTGTTTGTTCAGGAAACAAACGGTAGGTGGAAACGTCATCGAAATAAATTCAAAATCCATGTACGCATCAGTCAAAGTGGTAGGAGTCTGCATATCATTGTGTTCACATCTGCAAAACGCGACTTCGCCACCTATACAAAAACGGAAGCCAATTGCCCGATCGAGTTGAACAGCAGCCGGAAAGACACGAGACAAAGATGGCGGAGAATATTCTATTATTCCATTAGCTTTGTTTACTCTTTCTTGAAGAAAAACGAAGACCACTGACAAGTGAAAACTGTCAGTAGGTACAGCCGAGTGGCCGCATTCGTTGTAGTCACGCGTCTGCAGCCACCACAAAAACGTGTTAAATTGAAAAATATTTTACATTGACAAAAATAAGTCCAGATTACTTTGTATACACACACTCACACAGACATTATATATATATATATATATATATATATATATATATATATATATATATATATATATATATATATATATGCGATCGTGTTGAAAAAAGTGTTCAAATCTGAGGAAATTTACCTCGACTTTTCAGCTAACCTGATGAATATTCATGAGCGTTTGCTAAATTTAATTTTTTTAACAATATTTTTGCACTTGCTTATAAATACTTATTAGGAGACAAAATCCTTGCATTTGCCTTAATAAAAAGTCCGTGAAAGGGCGAACCGCGTCGCCCAATATGACTTTTCCGTTAGCCTTTATTCATATATATATATATATATATATATATATATATATATATATAAAGTACTTCGGATCATAAATTTAACTGTTCTTTAATATTATATCAATATATTTGCACACACACACGCACAAACACACACACATATATATATACATATATATATATATATATATATATATATATATATATATATACACGCACTATCTCTCTACATATATTTTTACACATGCTCTATTTCTTATATTGTGCTCTTTATCCCATAAATATAGCACACCTTAAAACTATATTTCTTTATATATATATATATATATATATATATATATATATATATATATATATATATAAAGAAAGAACAGTAAGATATATAATCCGGTGTTCTTATAGATATTTTTATTTTTACAAAATAGTGCTCAATGTAAATTTACATAGCATTAATATTATAAATTAATTGATTTAAAATATGTTTTTTCCGCTACACAGTTCTAACCATGTTTTAAAAATAGAAGCTAAAAGCGCCGAATTTAATTTTGCAATGAAATGGAACTAATGCTCTTAATTTAATTGCAAAATTAAATTCGGGACTTTTAGCTTCTATTTTTGAAACATGGTTAGAACTGTGTAGCGGAAAAAACCATATTTTAAATCAATTAATTTATAATATATATATATATATATATATATATATATATGTATGTATGTATGTATGTATTTAGGCAGCAATCCATCTTTCATAGCACATTTTATTGAATACGACAGACAAGGTGCATTTATTTAGTTTTTTATACAATTTCTCATGCGATCTAATAATTTTTTTCTTTTCGCAGGATTTTTTTTTTATATAAAAACTGTCCTCCGGATGTTCTTTTTATCCGAGTGCTTTCGGCTATACGTTTAGCCATTTTGAAGGATATATATATATATATATATATATATATATATATATATATATAGGAATTAACACTGCATAGTGACTACCAATATCTCGCCTCAAACGACCTCAGTAACCGTGTACCATTGATTGCGATTACTATATTCACGTACACTCTCTGTCCCTTTCTTTCTTTCTCTCTCTCTCTCTCTCTCTCTCTCTCTCTCTCTCTCTCTCTCTCACCTTTCTTTATATATATATATATATATATAATAAAGAGAGTGACAGAATGCGCCCGAGTTGGAGAAATAGAATAATAATATAGATGGGAAATGATCAAATCCCACGAATAATTGATCGCATTGAGACTAGAATTAAATACACAGTATGGAAAGAACGGTTGTTCGTTCACTAACATATTGGAATAATTAACTAGCCGAACGGCAAAGAGTGACACAAAAATCTATGAAGTAAAGAAAGGGTTTAAAATGCGGCCAAGCGTAATTAGAGAAGAAAGAGTTTTAAATGGATGACAAACATGAAAAGCCGAAAGATAGAAATAACAAAATAATAATTAAAAATCGCCCTTCCGAAACTAAAAAAAAAATAAAATAAATAAAAAGAAGAAAAAAGTCAAAATGCTGTTTAGATTGCAATGATGGGGGAGTTAATGTACGGTCTTGTTGCTATAGGGACAAACGGAGACATGATGTTTGAGAGGAAGTGACGCCATATTGCTTTATGTAGTGGGTTTTTTAGTACTCTTTTTTTTTATTCATCTTTCTTGATATTTCTGATAAACAAGATGTCGGATGGTGTTGGGAAGGAAGATGATGATAGGTAGTTTGGTGAGAGAGATGAAAGAGTGTGAAAAAGAAGGGATCGAAACCGTACAGAGGAAAGAGAAAAATAAAACAATAGTTGAATAAACAAATAAATGGATAACGAAAAGCAAAGACGGAGTGAATATGGCAAGCACTAAGATTAAGCGACGTGCGATGGACTGAGAGTAAAGATAGATGAACGAATCTAATAAAGAACGGAGCGGGGAAAGATGATGAGAAAAAAGAAGTGATGGAAAGAGAGTGAAAAAAGAGAATGGTAGGTTTGGGGAGAAAAGAAAGAAAAAGGAAAGAATAAAGAAAAAAAGGATAAAGAGTGAAAACAAAAGGAAATAGAGAAAATATACGGAAGAGAACGTGAAAAGAGAAGAAACGAATAAAAGAAAGAAAGGAGGAAAAAGAAAAAAGAAGAATGAAAAATAAAGTAAAAAGAAAAAGGGGACCGGAAAAAGAAAGATAAAAAAAAAAGAAAGATAAAAAATGGAAGGAATATGAAAATCGAAAAATCTAGAAAATGAAGAAAAGAAAAAAAAAGAGCAAGGAGGAAAAGTAGAAAGGAAAGTGGAAATAAAATAAAGTAAGAAAAAATGAAAAAAAAAAGAAAAATAATAAAGGAAGAAAACTTTTTGTTTATTTTTTACGGCTTATCAACCGTTTGTGGGTTATTTAAAGCTGAAACCTATTTCGGATTGTAGGAGGATGCTTACACTACCCGATGTTCGCAAGCGGTCTCTCATTTAAGTACTGACTGAGTTCAACGCTGCTTAACTTGAACGAGAAACTCTTTTCAGCGTAATCTAAGGTAGAAAGGAAAGGACACAAGAGAAAGAAATAGAAAGAAAGAAAATGAAGGAAGGAAAAAAAAATAAACAGACAATACAGAAATAAGATCGAAGAAATCTAATGATGACATATCTTCACGAAAAACGAGAATTTCATTAAAAAAAGATATCTGTGTATGAATTTCTGGGTATTATAAACATCATTTTTTACCAGTGCTCATATGCAACTTTTGCTGTTATCATTGTATTTTTATTTTGTCTTTTTTTTTTGTTTTTTTTTTGTTTTTTGGGGCACAGTGGATAAAGGCGTTAGACAGATCCAGCGACAGGACCCAAAGAGTGTGAGTTCAATACCTGGTTAAGGCAGTGGAGAACTTAGAGGGGAATTAACAGGAGATAACTGACATCCATTAGACATAGCACAAGAAACTAGAACAGTCTACCCCAGTGAGCGAAATAAAGAGTTCAGTTCGGCGTTCCAACCACCTGAAGAAGCAACAGCCGAAACGTTGTGATAAACATGGGGTCAAAGATGAGGAGAATAGTCCGAATAATGTAAATGTGTACATAATACCTTATCTTAGAAATATAGACAGATACTGAAAGGCCGAAACTTTGTAATAAATATGGCGACAAAGATGGGGACAATAGTCCGAATAATGTAAATAGTGTACATAATACCTCATCTCAGAAATATAGGCAGATACTGAAAGGTCGAAACGTTGTAATAAATATGGCGACAAAGATGAGGACAATAATCCGAATAATATAAATAGTTTACATAATACCTCATCTCAGAAATATAGACAGATACTGAAAGGCCGAAACTTTGTAATAAATATGGCGACAAAGATGAGGATAATAGTCCAAATAATGTAAATGTGTACATAATACCTCATCTCAGAAATATAGACAGAAACAGAGAGCACTGTTTAACTAAACTTTATTGTAATTGCATTAAAAAATAAAGTAGCGAAAATATTCTGATAACTAAATAAAGAAACTATGAATTTAAATGTAAAAAATTCTTGCAAATGCCGTAAATGTTTAATTGAGATTATTGTGATGAAATACACAATTTAACTTAAAGTTCTCGTAATAACATAGAAATCAAACGTGAATACTTTGATGACTGAAAAATGAAGCTAAGAATTTTCATGAGTAATTATGTAATTTGGCTGAAAGATGAGAATAACTGTCTAGTCCATTACTAGGTAACCACTTTTTACCATAATTATGCATTTGATACCGTTGCCCGCTCATGGGCTCAGTAGTGATTCTTAAAACCCGAAAGGCCTTTTAAAAACTTCTACAAAAAGCACTGCGATCAGAAAAAAAATTTATTTTCAATATATTTTTCATATTATAGATTAAGCAATTCCGATCAGGAATATTAGAAAAAAAGAATTATAACATTTAATAATGGGGTCTATGTGATGTAAATTCACTGTAAATCGATCCCTTAAGCCTTGGAAAATCTGATACTGACGGGAAAGTTTGCAGGCAAATGAGACAGATGAACACAATGCATCACCTACTTAGTGAGCTTGAGTAAATGGATGTTGGAACAAGGTGTACGAGAAATAACAAAATGACAAAACTTATTAAGAGCTACAAAGAACAGGAAACTGTGGAGAGCCATGATCGCCAACGTCTCGAAGGGTCACGGCACATAGAAGAATCTGGCGTACTTAATCGATAGTAATATAGGAAATCGCTTCAATGTAAGATATATTCACTACTTGAAATCTTTGAAACAAAAATCTTAAATGAACATTTCATTCATAAGTTGGCTTGTTATAGTTAAGGAAAGTTTTACAAATAGATGCCAACTTATGAAAGTTCAAGTAAAATGCACATTTCAAATACTTTTCTTACACTTTATAAGATGATATTCCTAAACAGAACTATTTTCGATAAGAAAATCAAAACAATCCTCGAAAAAAGAACGGCAATGAAGGAGAGTTAATTAATGAAATAAACTTTTAAAAAAATCAATATGCGAATTAGTTAACCCACACACGCACACGGACAAACACACATACGCTGTACTTTATATATAAGATTGACTAAACCGTTGATGAAAGTTTACTAATTTTATTCCATTTATAATTATTGGGGTTTTATTCCAATACTACAGGAGGGGATATATTTTCATTATTACGATGATTTTGATAAACGAAATGAAAAAAAAATAGCAAACAAAATTACAGAAGGAAAATCTGACAAGCTACTTTCATTGGTGCCCCATCAGCATGAATTTAAATGTGCTACTAGGTTGGCATCTCGGTCCCACCCTTTCACTGTCGAAATTGTTAAATGTAACCGCCTCTTCTACTCCAACAGCTTCTTATCTCGCACTTCCCGACAGTAGAACTCCCTTCCTCCTGCTTGCTTACCTGATAGCTATAATCTTCATATATTCAAATGTAATGTCAACCGACATTTTCTGGTGCCTTGATCTTGATCTCCGTCCTTCTCTATATTCTTTCTTCAAACACACCTCTTTATTTTCACTTTCCGTAACCTCCTTGTGTGCTATTGGCACTCTCGCCTTGCTTGGGGTGAAATGCTTAAAACAAAAACAAAAAAGAAGAAAACGTAAAAAAAAATAGTAGATAAGATAAAAAGAAAAGAAAAAAAAATAATCGAAAGAAAATGATAAGAAAAAGACTAAAAGAGAAGGAGATGAATAATTAGGAGCGAAAGGGTGAATTTTGGAAGAGAAAGATAAATAGAAGAGACGCACATGGTTCAATCGAAAAGAAAACCAAATGTCCTCACAAACAAAGGGCAAATCTGTTTTATGAGTTGTAGAAGGGCGAATCTGACTAATGACGGACAATCTGATAAAAAAAAGATTCGAAATCGAGATTGTTTGCAAATAAAAACAAAAAGTGATAAGAAAAACAAAAAAGAAGGAAAATAAAGAAGAAAAACTGAAAGAACGACGTTAACCGCCAAATATCTTGGCATGTATCGACAAGAAAATCCGACGTTGATCATGAAAATGATCTGATTCCAGAGGCAGAACAGTTTTACGATCTTTCTTCCCCAAAGCTCAAAACGGGGAGGTGAAAATTTGATTTTCCGCCATATTTCAAGATGGTTGAAGTAAGAGCGAAAATGAAAAAAAAAATAATCATCATTCGAAAATGAATATCAGCTTCAGATTTCATTGAAAATCTTTTAATGGCATCTATTGACTCCCATAGAATTCCATAATTTATATGTTTGCCTGATACAATAGTTTCAAGCATTTGAAAACAAAAGCTATTTTCATCGAGATCCATACGATCATAATTTAGTCGACAAAAAAGTCTTGTATACTTATGAAACAAGCTAAACTTTTTCGAAGGTTAAATTTAACTAATTTGGCACGATGTTATGTGTTTTTAGTGTCTATATAGGCTATAAAATCTTTCTGCAAGTAAATTTTAAAAAATAACTTTACGTACAATTTGGAAAAGAAGAACATAATAGTAAAATAAAGAAATAAATGAATATCGAAAAGAAAAGATGGAATGAAGACGACAAAGGCGAAGATGAAAGACGAAGGAAAGACTGAGGTAAAGATAGATAAAGAGCGAAAGAGAGACGAAAAGGAGAAAAATACAAAAGAAATAGTGGAAAAAGATGAAGTAAATAGAATAAAAAGAAAAAAGGAGAAGAAAAAAAGGAGAAAAAGAAAAAAGGAGAAAAGAGGGAGAAAAAGAAAGAAGAAAAAAAAATGGATAAAAGAAAAAAGAAAAATACAAAAAAGAAAGTGGAAAAAGAAGAAACGTATAGAAGAAAAAGAGAAAGAGGAAAAAGATGAAATGGAGAAAAAGAAAAAGAGAAAAAAACAAAAGGAAAAGTTGAAAAAGGAGAAATAAATAGAAGAAAAAGAAGAAAAGAAAAGGAGAAAAATAAAATAGGTGAAAAATATAAAAGGAAACATGGAAAAAGAAGAAATGAAAAGAAGAAAAAGAAAAAGGGCGAAAAAGAAAAAAGACGAAAAAGAAAAAAGGCGAAAAAGAAAAAGGGCGAAAAAGAAAAAGAGAGAAAAGAAAAAGGGCGAATAAGAAAAACGTCGAAAAAGAAAAAAGGCGAAAAAAAAGACGAAAAAGAAAATGTCAAAAAAAGAAAAAGGGACAAAAAAAAGAAGAAAAAAGAAAAAGTGGGGAATGGAAAAACAAAAATAACAAAAGGAGGCGAAAAACAGAAAAGAAAAAAGAAAAACATGGAAAAATGATTTTTGGTATATACATTGGGGAGTGAAACAAATATTTGTAAACCTACAAATTTTTAATTTATTTTATTTCCAACTAATGAATAAACCTACTTTTCATATAATTAGCTGTACACAGATGCATAATAACTAAATATGCATAGAAAACAGAAAAAATTGATAAAATAGAAATAAATCCCATTTATCCATTTTAATGGGTGAAAAAGTATTCGTACAATACAAAAAAGAATAAATAATCTTTATTTAATACTTGGTAGAATCGCCATTATTCACTTCTACAGCAACCAACATCTTCTTGTATTTCTCAATTAATGTTTTGCAAATTTTAGTTGGTATTTTGTTCCATTCTTCTTTGCATATTGTCTTCAGATCAGGGATGTTTGTTGGAGATCTACTAAAATACCAAGAAGAAGAATGAGAAAGATAAGAAGAAGAAGAAGAAGAAGAAGAAGAAGAAGAAGAAGAAGAAAAAAAATAAAATAAAATAAAAAAAAGAGTTGAAATCTGTAAAATATATAATTTCTGCAAGGAGACACTTACCATTCAAGTGTTCAGACGCTAAACGCGAATAAATTTTCGTCTCCCTAATGCAGATGTTGTTCACTTGAAAATAAAATTATTTTTTGGGTGACGCCGCTTGAACTGCGAATTATATCAAGAGAGAACATTTTCAAAAAGTTCTTAGATATTTACCATTACGTCAGATTCGTATCCAATCGCAAACACACACACACACGCACACACACACGCACATATATATATATATATATATATATATATATATATATAATAGTAAAGTATGGTTGCCGACGTATCCTTCTTATAATATGTAGATATAATGAGGCGGCGAAAGTATTTCGAGAGATAAAAAAAAACAACAACAAAAAATAATATTGATTTTAAAACTAAAAAATATTGCCACCGCTAATAGATCATCCTAGAGGGGACTGTCTAGGGTTGATGATGATGATGATGATGATGATGATGATATAAGTGAACATTGAAGTCAACACTCAGAGGCGACAGGCCGATTCATGATAGACGTAATCGTCAGGCCGCGAATGGTAGATTTTTCCTCGACTATTTATATATATATATGGGTCAGTGGTGCATTGTGGGTAATCTATTCTTATTTTTGCTGAGGTGGCTTATTTGTTGTAAGCGTTCTAAAAGCAAAGGAAATATGTCGTAGATTACTTCCACAGCGCAGAGAACAGATCACTGTAAGTTAAGATTCGAATATCGGGGACGGAAAGAAATGCCGAAAACTCGATTCGCAGTTACTATCTCACAAACCACAATGCACGTAATCAGTCATAAAAATAAGTCACTCTCCGACGAATGCGATAGCCAAAATACCCGAATTTTCCTCCCCGATTAGAGAACACCAACTGCTTTTATCAGTCGAGCATTTTTTCCATTCGTCGACAACTGGGAGAGGACGCCCAATTTTTGCATATCAAAATACTTTTATAGCGACTCCTCCGACGGACTTGTTTTTCTAATTTAAATATTCCGTCTTCAGCATGTCATACGGAATACGTGCATTTTTTTTGCATTTTTTTTTTTTTTTTTGGTATGTCATTTTCTTTTTTGCCACATTTTCCATCCTAGCAACAACCTTTGCATGTTTTATTGAAAACGGCTGAATAGGAACATTTTATTAATCTTTTATTGAGTTTTTCTGCTTTCTAACATTTTTTCGTTTTACAGCTGTTTTTTATATATATATATATATATATATATATATATATATATATATATATATGTTCATGTTTCATTCAAAACGACAGGCAAGGTACTACGATTAGACTTTTTATGTAATTTTTTTTGTGTTCGAACAATTGCTTTCTTTTTTGGACATACACTGTGTAGAAACTGACCAAATGTTCTATGGCTGCGAGCACATTCGGTTATACTTTTAGCCATTATCAAGGATGATTTTATTTATTCAGTATAATTGTGTGTGTGCGTTGTGTGTATGATTTTAGCGTTATAGAGATGTTTTATTTTCCGAACACAGTTAGCATATTCTGGCCGTGGTCTTAGTTAATATTATTAAGTGCTGGATTTTTCTTTTTTTTATTATTAAGCCTTCCATAATTTTTAATCTTTTTCATATATGTAAAAAAAAATAACGTATAAAAAAAAAAATATATTAAAATAATTGTTGGACTTAGTCCATTTCATTATATATATATATATATATATATATATATATATATATATATATATATATATATATATATATATATATATATATATATATATATATATATATATATATATGTATACCTATATATATATATATATATATATATATATATATATATATGGGGGAGATGTAATAGGTCGGCGAAAAGAATTTGAGATCTATTAAAACATCAAATGTAATAATATTGATAATAAAATTTTTATTTTGTCTTTTTCTCGTATATTATAAAGTGTTTTCCAATAACTTGGGTCGATTTTAAATGTGAATTAGGTTTAAGGGTCAAAAGATGTTTTTCTTTTTCTTTCAGATTTAACACCTGAAGTCTTTGGCAATTTCAACCATGGAAACAATGTGTCAAAGTTACCGAAGCCTATTGCGAAAATGGACGTTCAAACAGAAATGTAATGAGAAGTTCCCAGGTCGCATCATCTCTCGAAACAGCGAAATCAACAGACCACACCAATTGGCCTATAGATTTCTTCCTTTGGGGTCATCTCAAAAGTCAGGTCTATACCAACAAGTCGACAACAATTCAACAGGTGTAGGAAGCAACTATGCAGAGACGTCATCAAAAATTTTGACCATCAAGTGGAGGTGCGCCGCCGAAGCCTTGGCGGACATTTGGGCGATATTATTTTTCACACATAATTAACTTAAATACTATGATCCAATAGAGAAATAAATAAATTTTCGCCAATAGCACTGATTTATTTACTGCTGACTTTGATCCGTCTTAATGAAACACCCTTATATATAATCCGTCTTAATGAAACACCCTTCATAAAGGAAGAGATCTGATAGATTTGGGCTAGTCATTTGCCAATTTCGTGATATCAGATCTTTTAAATAATATAACACACCTAGACACACACGCACACACACACGCACACACACACACACAAACGTATATATATATATATATATATATATATATATATATATATATATATACGCCCCCCCCTCTCGTAGATTGTGCACATTGGAAGAAAGGGAATTTGTTGGCTGCTACTAATTAACGCTAAAAGCTCTTCACTATGAATAGAACACTCTACTAACCGGTAATGCGTATATATCGTATATAATGCCTTAAAATTCATTTTCTCTTCCGCGTGCGGATGAAAAAGGGTAAGTGTTTCCGAATAATGTCAAAGCGGTCGGGTTTCGATCCAGGCTTGAAGCAATTGCATGTCTAGCGACACCGATGAGTTGTGATACAGTGAAACAGGCTTTCTGTGGCTGTATATATATATGAAGAAATATAGTCGTAAGATGTGCTATATTTATGGGATAGATATCAAAGATAGAGCGTGTGTAAATATAAAAGTGAACATAGAAGTCAACACTTAGAGGCGACAGTCTGTTTCATCCTAGATGCAATGCTTAGGACACAGCATGAAACAGACTGTCGCCTCTAAATGTTGATTTATATATATGTGTGTGTGTGTGTGTGTGTGTGTGTGTGTGTGTGTGTGTGTCCATAAATTCACAAACAAACGATATTTAAAAGTTAAACCAAATCGGCTGAACATTTGTCTAGACACATCGGACACCAGAAAATTATTAAATTTGAAATTTAGTCTCCCTAGATGTTTAGCTTTTCCACAATCGACCGCGGTTTTCGTTTATATATTCCTCATCTTTCCTCCATTTACATAATTCCATCAATAAGAATATTATTTTAGCCTTATGAAGCACTTATAAGGCTGAAACACGTTATATATTTTTTCATTCTGTTAGTGTTGAAACCTAAGGAAGACTACTGAATAGAATAATCGCGGGAAGGTTGGTAATGAACGATAATACTTAGGACAAGAACAACACATATAAGATTCGCCAGACTGCTTCAATCGTCGGGTAACCTAAGGGCAGAAAACACAGGATGATTGTGTTTCTGTCCCCGCTTGCGTCAGCGTTCAACAGTTCTTTGTATGATGGTCTTGCAGAGGCTGTTATGCTACGTCACTTGGCCAAACCCTGCCATCTCCCGACGCTTAATAGTGGCGAGGAGAGAATACCTGTTGGCCCCTGAGTCTTTTGACCTTGCTGCGTGCATTAGTTTTGAGTTCCTTTGAGCTTTCTCGAGTATGTCTTCACCAACGCCTGGATCCCTTTTTCCTTCGTCAACCAGAACGTCCTGGTCCCACAACCGTAGAGAGGAATGGATAAGATTCGTAGAGTTTGAGTTGATGTTGCTCTCCCATATACTTTCCAGTCTGGCCATCACTGTTGTGGTTGTGGATTTCTGCGTTGCAGGTGACATCTTTTGACAGGATTGCTCCAAAGTATTTGTAGCTGAACCGTTACTCCAGTGGGTCGGCGTCTATGGTGACGGTGGCACTGATCTTACTTCTTCTCTTCATCATTATTTTGGATTTCTCTGGGTTGAGTTCCACTCCCTACACTAAAGCTTTCAACGAGTTTGTTAGACACGTCTTGCAGCTCACACTTGCTACCACAACATGATCTTTTTGCATGCTACTGTTTTCTTTTACTGTCCCTGTTACCAGCACAACACTTTGAACTAACACGATGGTGGGCCTGTCTTCAATGCGTTTTTGACAGTGCTTTAACTCACACAGACGAACACCCCAACTCCCCACACACACAGACACACACGTACACAAAATATATATATATATATATGTGTTTGTGTGTGTGTGTGTTTAGGCAGCAGATCTCTTTTAGGGATGTCTTATTAAATAAATGACAAACATTATGTCCGCTTATTTCTAGTATATTCCTCTCATATTCACGAATATTTTTCCGTACAATTACAATCAAATGATGCAAGAAATGCACTGTAACAGTGATAATCACTTTTATTTCGCAATTATTTTCCCTCAATTATAGAAACCATCATCAGGGATGCAACTGCTAAGGTGAAAACTATATGCAGCTATGCATTACTGATTTTTTTTTCTTTTTGCGTTTAATTGCAACGGCTGAAAGTTTAGCCTTAGCTTTCTGTTATGGTCCGTTTCCTTGTACCACGGTGATAGTCCAAGGTAGAACCAATAAAGAAGAACTCGAACACGTATATGGAATAACACAGATATATTACAAACAGGAATATATACAGAGAAGTAGAAGTGTTAGTATGAATAATCTGGTTTAGTAAGGAGAACAATGTAGTCTCGACCAATATCACTATTCCAATGTCTTGCAGTAATTGTCTGAACGCGACTCTGTTTTGGACTGCCTTTGACGCGACTCTTGACTCGACTTGAACTACTGACTATATTTAGTCACCCCACCACTGGTGCATCATGTGGCACAAGGCCGGTTAAACGTGGGATCTCGGAGACCGTGGGCTCGGGCAAAAAATATGCCCATTGAACCCGTATAAACGTTTCAGGGTCGGTTTACCTCCCCGAAAGAGAATCCGCCCTTCGGCATAGCCTAATTCGGGTTCCCTCCCGCCCGAAGGCAGAGAGTTCAACCGATTAGCCGGTCGACCGAGATCGACTTGAAAGACTGACGATATTCAGTCACCCCCCCTCATGAGGGCATCATGTGGCACAAGGCCGGTTTTTAACGTGGGATCTCTGAGCCCGTGGGCTCGGCCCAAAAATATGCCCATCGAACCCGTATAAACGGGCTCAGGGTCGGTTTACCTCCCCGAAAGAGAATCTGCCCTTCGGCGTAGCCTCCTTCGGGTTACTCTCCGCCCGAAAGCAGAGAGTTCAACCCCTCAGCCGGTCAAGACTTGAACGACTGACGATTCACCCCACCCCCTGGGGCATTATGTAGCAAAACGCCGGTTTTTTAATGTGGGGTCCCCGAGCCCGTGGGCTCGCCACAAAAATATGCTTATTGAACCCGTATAAACGGGTTCAGGGTCGGTTTACCTCCCTGAAAGAGAATTCGCCCTTCGGCGTAGATTCCTTCGGGTTCCTCCCCGCCCGAAGGCAGAGAGTTCAACCGATCAGCCGGGCGTGAACGACTGACTATATTTAGTCACCCCCCACGTGGGCATCATGTGGCCCAAGGCCGGTTTAACGTGGGATCTCTGAGCCCGTGAGCTCGGCCAAAAATATGCCCATATTCGAGTAGCCTCCTTCGAGTTCCTCCCCGCCTGAAGGCAGACAGTTCAACCGAACAGCCGAACAAGAGTTGAACGACTGACGATATTCAGTCATCCCCCACCCACTGGTGCATCATGTGGCACAACGCCGGTTTAACGTGGTAATACCGAGCCCGTGGGCTCGGCTCAAAAAAATGCCCGATGAACTCGTATAAACGGGTTTAGGGCCGGTTTACCTCCCCGAAAAAGAATCCGCCCTACGGCGTAGCCTCGTTCGGGTTCCGCCCCGCCCGAAGGCAGACAGTTCAACTGATCAGCTGGTCGTGAACGAGTGACGATATTCAGTCACCCCCACCCCACTGAGGCATCATGTGGCACAAGGCCGGTTATTTAATGTGGGATCTCCGAGCCAGTGGGCTCGGCCCAAAAATATGCCCATTGAACCCGTATAAACCGGTTCAGGATCGGTTTACCTCGGCGTAGCCTCCTTCGGGTTAATGTTTGTAATATATATATATATATATATATATATATATATAGGTAACTATACTAGTTTCGAAAAACCCTCAAATTTTTGATTTGCCAATAATCAAATCAATCTTGAGGGAAAAAAAGGTTTTAAAAAAAGAAAGAACTAGAAACATGAAAGTCTGTCGCAAAAAAATCGCACAGATACAGGTTTGAAACCCAAAGAAAAAAACCCAATACGAGTAAACAACTAACTAACAAAAGAGCTCAATACAACCGTAGAGCAGACCTAGATAAACTTAGTGAGCAAGACAAACCTACCCAGGTTTCACCTAAGCGGATCGTCAGGGAAAGCTGGCTAAAGAGGCAAAGGAAAACGCATATTTTTAGGCGATAGTCAAAATTATACCACTATCGGCTATAAATATGCCTTTCCTTTGCCTCTTTAGCCAGCTTTCCCTGACGATCCGCTTAGATGAAACCTGGGTAGGTTTGTCTGGCTCACTAGATTTATCTATCTATCTATCTATATATATAAAACAAAAGAACTGTAAGATATATAATCCGGTGTTCTTATAGATATTTTTATTTTTACAAAATAGTGCTCAATGTAAATTTACAGAGCATTAATACTATAAATTAATTGATTTAAAATATGTTTTTTTTCGCTACACAGTTCTAACCATGTTTCAAAAAATGGAAGCTAAAAGCTTCGAATTTAATTTTGTAATTAAATTAAAGACATTAGTTCCATTTCATCTTCAAGCGAACTTTGGTAAAATTACAAAATTAAATTCGAAGCTTTTAGCTTCCATTTTTGAAACATGGTTAGAACTGTGTAGCGAAAAAAAAAATTATATTTTAAATCAGTTAATTTATATATATATATATATATATATATATATATATATATATATATATATATATATATATATATATATAACGAAGTAAATAAACACCTAAGTAGTTATTTAGAACGGTATGTGTTAAATGAGCTCAATATCAAGTTAGAAAAATCAAACCTGTAGAACTATTTAATATCCTAAAGTAATATAACGGTGAATGGACCATCATCAACTCATCCGGTTGTTAACTCAGCGAATCACAGACAACACAGCAAGAATTAAAATTTTTCAACGCACCACTATAAGTAATGAGATGGAAGAGAAGTGTTGAAAAAAATGTTTTTAAATTCAATCGGATTCGTATAATCCTAAACTCAACTTCCTCATATGCCGTCATTTTGCCAAACTTTCAGACCTCACATTCATATATATATATATATATATATATATATATATATATATATATATATATATATATATATATAATCTTATAGGCATGTTACATCATTAGTCTGTGATTAATTAGTAATCGTTGGCTAGTCGTACTTAGCGTTTTAAATTCTCTGTTATCATTTCTCCTAAGAGTGAATGACTCATGGAAACAATTTAGGAATATGTTTAAAGTTTAAGGAATTCTTGTGTAGACAAAATTTCATCGCTTTCTCTGAACCGTAGCTTCCAGCGCGTAATTGTAATTAGTTACTTTATATATATATATATATATATATATATATATATATATATATATATATATATATATATATATATATATACATTTATATTTGACCTTTACTAACCCAACGGGATTTTCGTTTAGTAATTTCACTTTTTTTTCTATCACACATAATTAGATTTACGAGATAATCGATGAGTAAGGAATCCCTTGAGTAAAGGAAAATTTGCTGGCAGTGCCCATCTTCTCTCCATGTAATATATGATGGATTACATGCGACGTGCAGTAAACGAAACCTACCATACCCACTGTTCACGAAGACCTTATGTGAGGGAAATTGGTTTAGAGGCTGATGTAACTATTTCGTTTAGAATTCGAAATTCTTCAAACAAATATTTAATTTTACAATGTTTTTTTTTCCTTCGGATCAAGAAGGAAAATTGCGTTTAATAGTAATCAAAATATTTAAACGAAAATTAGTCATTTTTACCAGAATTTCTTTAATATTATTTCAGTTCTTTTTACACCTCGTATCAATACGCTTAACCTACCTGAATGTCATTCATAATGTCGTGTTAATTATTATTCATTTTTTATTAGTATTCCATTCATCTTTATAAATGTTGCTTTTCCGTTCCTAGCAATTGTCTTAAACTGTCTGAATTATTTAGATAAGATATTATCAACTTTTGATTAGTATTCCTTTCATTTGTTGTTAGGGGAACTAATCTAGGAGAACGATATTTCTGAATTCAAAAGTAACCTAAAGAGGAAACAGACAATCTACTCCCACTGGTGCTACGGCTGCAGTACACACGGTGCGTAAAAGACCCTAAGAGGTTACGTGACACGTGCGCGTGAACGTGACTACCACACGATGCACATGACCCTACAGAAGGATACTGAGAATACTATGACCGTCGGCGCGAATAAGTCTTATGGAAAATGGAAACAAAAAGGACACTGTTAGTCAGAATCAGAAAGAGAGAAATGAGTTTTCTTGTACATCTAAAGAGAAAAGAAAGCTTGGAGAATTTGACATTCACATGTCAAAATGGACAGAGAAAATATTTGGGCCACCTATCTAACGAGCTTGTTTAAAAGGATGGCAATTTGGCTGATTAAATGGTTTGCTTCCTACGGTTTAGTAACCCTTTGTGTGTTATTTAAAGTTGAAACTTATTCTACATTTTAAGGATAATTCTGTTTTTAGTGAATGAATACTGCATTTACAGTAACAGTGATTTCTCTAGATACAAGTCCTATTATTTAACCCATAGCTAGGAGCAGGAGATGAAGTCATACCTTTCCCAAAGGCATTTGCGCCAAAGTGAATATAACGAAATTGACTGGAATTCCAACCGCTGTGAATAGACGCCGGAACGAGAGTGGGACAAACGTTGCTAAGTGTTACAAAGGATAAGAAATTGTTGAGATCCACGATCACCCACATCCTGAATGGACACGACTCATAGAAGAAGACGTTATGTCTTTGTTATTTTGATCAATATTCAGCCGATACTTCTCCGATTTTCCGAATGCATTTAAAAGTTTGACGCAAAAACTTTAAATTATTTCTATGCGAACTGATATTTTTATCGTTTTTCCCTTGCTTTATATTTTCAGTCAGTACGCTCCCCGGCTTTCCTTCGATTGATTGAAGTTTAGAAGAAGAGATTGCATTATTTTATGTATAATTCTGACAATTGCTTACGAAAAGCGCATCTCCGCTCGAAGAATAAATCTGTTTGCATTCTGAACATTATTAAAATTGATTAAAAAACAAACTATGCATCTGATATTTCAAGATGAAAAAAAAAAAATGAAGAAAAAAATCCGTTAAATTATCAAAAATTCTGTAGAATCTCCTGAGCAGGCGCAGACTTATTTGTGACGTCATTAGAAAAAAAATAACTGCACATGCGCAGTGAAGCAAAAACATCGGATAATACTCTAAAGAGATCTACTTTTATCGACGTCATTATTCAATGGAAGACACATGCAAACGCACATTGAAATCGCTTTTGATTCGTAAATTAATTTCTGAAATACTTTTTTACAAAAAATTCGTGTGTCTATATGGCCAGTTATTGAAAGCAGCTAGAAAATCTTTAGATAAATTGAAGTCGTGTGAAATCATATCAGAAAGAAATGATACTATTTTAAACAACGGTTCAAATTCAATTTAGCTTGGGCACTTGTTTAAAAAACTATAGATTTTTTTTCATTTTGTAAAGTTTGTCTTTTTTTGTTTTACGGCATATCAAACACAATGGGTTATTTAATGCCGAAGAGATTTTTATTGCTGGTATCATTATTCCCAAATATTTTTTTCCTTCAAAAGTTCATTGCTGGTAATAATGGATTGCTGGTAATATTTTTTTCCTTCAAAAATTTATTGCTGGTAATAATTTTCTATAAAAACTGGTACTAAAACCTATTTTTACACTTTCATAGTGTTTCGACCCCAGCTTGAAGTTAACTATTGCTGGGACTCTAACAAGTGCTACAATAAGAGTAAACCTGCGAACACGAGCAATTAATAGGTAGTTCTACACTCCTTAAAACATCCTGATCAGAGGCTTTCCTCTCGGATGTAGCTTGTCGTTTAACCCAAAACGTTGATCTAGTTTTATCGTCATACCCAGGACGGCATTTTGTAAGGGGCTTATTATATTTAAATCACCCTAAGCTGTTTAAAATGTTTTAAAGTACTTATCATCCATTCAATAATGATGAGCATTCGTCTGTGTGTATGCATCCAGCCGAATATTTAGGACCTTAAAGTTATCTATTTTGATTCAGTATGTTTCCCTGAATGATATGATAAACTCTTTATTTCTGTAAACTTTATAATAGCGAAGATATTTTTAAATTAAAATATCCTTTACTGATGACAAAACAATTTATTCTTATCTTAATAGTAAGCCTGATCGGTTCGATAAAGTCAAATTGGCAGCCGATTTTCAAAATTTCCTACAATCTATTGTTAACTGGGGCAAGAAATCGCCTGTTAATTTGAACGCTTCCAAAACGAAACAGCTCTCTTTTAATCGTCTGGGAGAATAGTTTTTCTTCGATCAAGCATGATTGATGCGAAGCTCCAAGAAAATGACCCATTGCTCCTTCTCAAACTAAATGACCCCACTGACGTGAAGTGGAAATATTATATTGAATCAACAGCTAGATCTGCTGCTAGGAAAGTTGGTTCCCTGTGTCTTGCTAGACAAATTTTCTCTCCAGAATCTATCTTACATGTTTATAAGCCTCCCATTCGTCTTTGTTTTAAATATTTTGGCACATCTGATTTGGTGTTCCTTATGATGTATTTAAAGATTCTTAATAAAATCCAAAGAATCTGTAATGTTCTTGGTCTTGATCTGGCATCTCGTCTTCAGTCACTTTCCCAACCACCATAATAAAGCTTTTTTGTGCCTTTTCTATAAATACTTCCATGGTAATTACTGAATATTAAAAACTTATCACCAAGTCATATACAAAAGCAGAGTATATGAAACTAGCTGAAACTTTCTTTAAACATTCAGATTCTGTTATGGAATGACTTGTCAACTTTAATGCCTCAAAAAAGAAATTGCTCACTTTTAGTCGATTGAGAGAACTCTTTTTACCATACATCAGAATGATTGATGATACTCTCCAGGAGAGTGACTCATTGCTCCTTCCCAAAATAACGGTCCCCGCTGACGGGAAATTAAAAGATTATATTGAATCAATTGCAACGTCTGCTGCTAGCAAATTTTGTTCCCTGTGTCCTGCTAGACAATTTTTCTCGATAGAATCTATGCCCATTGGAGATACCAATATCAAAGAATTACTATGATTTAAATATCTGGGCACTATTTTAATAGAGGACTGAAAGTGCAACAATGAAATCCAAATACGTATTGGGATACTGAAAGATGCCTTCAAAAAACTAAGCAGAGTATTAGGAAGGAAACAGATTTCGTACGAAACAAAGACAAGAGTACTGAAGTGTTATGTAATGTCAGTCGTACTATATAGCAGTGAATATTGGAAAATCTCTTCACAGATGAAGAAGAGAGTTGAAGCAACAGAAATGTGGTTCTATAGAAGGATGTTGAGAAGTCTATGAAGCGACCATGGGAAGCAACAACAGAGTTTTAAAGAAAGTAAAAACAAAAACGAAGCTTATACTTAACCTCAGGACGAGACAGATCAAATTTCTAGAAAACATGAAGAAAGAGAGCTTGGAAAATTTGATACTCACAAGACAGATCGAAGGCAAGAAGGACAGAATAAAATAGCAGAAGACTTACCTAGAGAGCTTAAGTAAATGGATGGCGGAACAAGGTTTAGGATAGATAACAAAATGACAAAAATTATTAAGAGCTACAAAGGACGGGATATTGTGGAGAGACATGATCGCCTACGTCCTGAAGGGACACAACATATAGAAGAAGAATGAGCTTGAGTAAAAGGATGTGGAGGGGGAGATTTAGGAGACGTAGCAAAAAAGCATTTATTAAGAGGTTTGAAAAACAGGAAACAGTAGAGAGCCATGATCGCTAACGTCCTGAAGAGGTACAGTACAAAAAGAAGAAGAGAAAGTGTAAGAAGAAGAAGAAGAGGAAGAAGAGCAAGAAGAAGAAGAAGAACAAGAGAAAGAAAAAGAGTAAGAAGAAGAAGAACAAGTACAAGAGGAAGAAAAAGAAGAGCAAGAAGAAGTAGAGAAAGACGAAGAAGAGGAGCATAAGGTAGAAGAAGAGCAAAAGGTAGAAGAAGAACAACAAAAGGAAGAAGAAGAGGAAGAAGAAGAGGAAGAAGAAGAAAAAAAGGTGAAGACGAGCAAGAGGAAGAGCAAGAAGAAGAAAAAAGAAGAGCAAGAATAAGAGGAAGAGGAAGAAGAAGTAAAGCAAGACGAAGAAGAGGAAGAACAAGAGAAAGAAGAAGAAAGTAAAGAAAGAAAGAAAGAAAGAAGAAAAGAAAGAAAAAAAGAGGCCAACGGACAAAAATTTCACTAAGAAAGCCACTGAGTCAAATGAGGTTCAAGGATGTCTTAACGTCATTCTTTTAATTACTGACATTTAAAAGCGGCGGAGAGAATAGAATCCATGCTTGTATTTAATTCTTTGTATATAAATTCTGATGAGTAATCATTATTGAAATTCAAGACTTACATCCTATAATAGTTTTATTCTGCCAAATAATGCCTTGCCAATGATATTACCTTTCTCATTATTTGAAATGTACTCATCTATAAAATACATTTACAATGAAAATATATATATATATATATATATATATATATATATATATATATATATATATATATATATATATATATATTATATGTACCTATGAGGATCCAACAACCTCATTGAGTTTTTATGTTTGTGTCGTATGTTACACTTCACTCATGCTAGTGACCTGCATACAAGTCCCTCATATATCTATCTATCTATCTATCTATCTATATATATATATATATATATATATATATATATATATATATATATATATATATATATATATATATATATTATAATCATTAGGAATTAGGATTACTCCATATAGTGATCATCATCATTTCACCTTGTAAATTAAAATTAAATTACAAGGATTTTCAAATTCATCAGGTTTTAACAAGGAAATCAAAATAAAATTGGATAATTTTTAAAAGCCAGGTGCTACGGATAATTCCAATGACGTCATTAATCCAAAAGAGAGCTCAGTACAAGTAAAAGTGCAATTTAATAATAATAAGTAAAGATAATCCTTAAAAAAAACCCTTTTCGGTTATAATTTATTTTATGAATATATTTAAATATTCATCTATTCTTTTTATATAGAAATTTTAATTTTTTTTTCTTCCTCTTTTATTATAAAAATTTTTCCTTTTTCCTTCTTTTTTCCTCTCCCATTTTCTTTTGTCTGGATAAATTGATTTCATTTCTAAGAAACCTTCGGTCTGAAGATATGAATATTTAAATAAATATATTCATGAAATTAATTATAACCGAAATGAATTTTAACGATTATCTCTTTCTTTACTAATATATATATATATATATATATATATATATATATATATATATATATATATATATATACATATATATATATATATATATATATATATATATATATATATATATATATATACATATATATATATATATATATATATATATATATATATATATATATATATGTCTGTAATGGCAATATTCTCTTAATAACGCTTGTATTGATTCTCCATAATGTACTTTTCCTCAATTTCAATGTTTTCCTATTATCCTTTCAATTTCCACATATGTTAATGATGCCTGCATTAAAACCTGACTATTAACAATCCCTTTTCCTGAATGTTATTGTATTCTTATATTAAAATACCCATCAATACATTTGATACTTTCTTTTTGTCTGCCTACTTCTTGCTTCATCATGCGGATCTTCCCGTATTTGCTGCAATAGAAAAAAATGTAGGGGTGGGTGCTTGAAAGAAAGTACCCTCAATACTAGCAGGGGAGATAGCAATTATTGAGCATAAGAAATTAAATATCTTGAAACCTGCTTTTAATAAAAAGATTTTATAGGATTCAGCCGACAGTAATTTGACAGTCAATGAATAGCGGATAATTCCAGGATATTACTTAATTCCACCACGGCACATATTCGAATCATTACCATTCTCTCTACGTATTCCATTAGTAAGGAGGAAGTTCCATTCAGACAGATTCTGCCCCAGAACTGTTATTTTTTTAAACACATTCGCGGGGAAAGAATACTTCTCCGATCATTACGATATTAAACACTTCAATTCTTGGATAGACCGTTATTTATCCATATACGTACATTCTTTACGACCTGCAACAAATTCATTTCGTATCCCTCTATCTTGACTGGCTCTTAGATCTTGTTAAAATCCTTAATCTGATAATCCGAAAAAATTGTACTTAGTTTGATTTGAAAACGTGTCTTTATCTTGGTTTAAGTCGCATCGTCTCGGCCGATAGAATCTACGGTCTTCTTTAAGTTCCAGTCTTATAGTAAACTGTTCTCAGATTTTCAAAGCGAACTCTTTATTCTTTTCTTCCCGTACGATCATTGAAGTTAAGCAACACGGAAACTGATCATTATCTAGATGGGTAACCACTTGGGAATACCAGGTGCTGTAGGCTTGGGTGTGTAGAAAACTTGAATGGATAATGGCTCCGAATTGTTTATCCGAGAGCCGAGTTCCAATTCCAGTTGGGTTCGTTATATTCACTTACAAGCAAATAAACTTAGGAAAAGTATGAACTGACATCTTCTCCCCACAGGCATGGATTAATTAGTAAGTCTTGTATCACTAAACAACTATGATTTTAATAAAAAAAATTCTTACAATCTAAAGATATTTTTTGAGTTTAAATAAACCGCGAAGATTGATAAGACGTCGGAAACGAAAAACAAACAATTTCAAAAAACAATTTTATTCTGTTCACAGATGAACATTGGAGATAAATGTATTTAAAAAAAAAACAGCAGAAGCAAAATATTTTGTTGTTTGGCCACGTTACACGGCATAACAGCTCCTGCAAGACCATCATGCAAGCCATTGTTGAAGGCGGACGCAGACAGGAACAGCAACACAAGAGCTGATCAGGCAACATCAAAGACAGGACGGATATGACAATGCTAGAACTCCTGAGAACCACTGCCAACAGATCATTCCTGGAGGAGGTTGTTTATTTCTTCAGTCTTAGGTCCCCCAACTGGACCAGTGAAGCAGTTAAGGGCCTGATGATGAAGATAATGATGACGACGACGATGATGATGATGATGATGAAGATAATAATGGTGACGATGATGATGATGAAGATAATGATGATGATGATGAAGATAATGATGATGAAGATAATGATGCGGGTGATGATGATGAAAATAATGATGAGGATGAAGATGGGGATGATGATGATGATGATGAAGATGTAGATGATGATGATTATGATGAAGATGTGGATGATGATGAAGATAATGATGTGGATGAGGATGATGATGAAGATGTAGATGATGATGATTAAGATAATGATGAGGATGATGATGAAGATGAAGATGATGATGATGATGATGATGAAAATGTGGATGATGATGAAGATAATGATGAGGATGAAGATGTGGATGATGATGAGGAAGATGTGGATGATGATGATGATGATGACGATGAAAATTCGGAGGATGATGATGATGAGGATGCTGATAATGAGGAGGAGGACGACGACGACAATGAAGTTGATGACAAAATTGATGATATCAATGAAATATAAGAATTTGTAAAATAAAGATATTTGATGTGGAATATTTCTTTAAATATAAGAATTAAAATCTCCCACCTTGTTCTGTTATCGAATGAAAGTGGATTCCCAGAAAATGGTCACCAAATATTTAAGCCAAACTCTGACGAGGGAAATGCTTCCAATTCCTTCAGAGAGCTTCGAATGTGTCACACAATCAAGGAAAGCTGCAGAAATTTGGGTTCGAAATTGCCTTTTTTTCCATTTTAAGTCATGGCGTTAAGATCTCATGAGTTGAATTGGCTAAATGAAATGACTAGACGTAACCGTAAGTTCTACGTTAACTGTTTCTTCTCTCGCACTTCTCGGTTGTGGAACTCTCTTCTGGCTTATTGCTTCCTAGTCTATTTTGATCTACATAAATTTAAATGCAATTTCAATCGTTATCTTCTTAATTCTTATCCTTACATTGTCCTCAATACTTAATAGTATTTTTTCTCATATTCTCGAACACTCAGTAACTCCTTGTGACGTAGTGGCTTTATTGCATTGCTTGGGATAAAATGATTTTTTTTTTTAAAAAAAGGAGTTAAAACAAAGAAATACTTTTGCTTTCGTTACATTTAAGGGGTACGAATTATGCGTAGGATTACGCATGCGTTATGCATTTATCATTATAGTTTTCTTTTAAATTTGCTAGTCGAAATCTTAACATAAAACACACAGTATCTGTCTATATTTCTGAGATGAGGTATTATGTACACTATTTACATTATTCGGACAATTGTCCTCATCTTTGTCGCCATATTTATTACAACGTTTCGGCCTTTCAGTATCTGTCTATATTTCTGAGATGAGGTATTATGTACACTATTTACATTATTCGGACTATTCTCCTCATCTTTGTCGCCATATTTATTACAACGTTTCGGCCTTTCAGTATCTGTCTATATTTCTGAGATGAGGTATTATGTACACTATTTACATTATTCGAACTATTCTCCTCATCTTCGTCGCCATATTTATTACAACGTATCGGCCGTTGTACGCTCCGGCCTTCTTCAGGTGGTTGGAATGTCGAACTGAACCATTTATTTCGCTCACTGAGGTAGATTATCAATACATTTTCTGTTGTTAAAATCACACCGTGGCGCGAATTATGCGGAGAGGCGGCCTGTTAACAGTTCGGGATTCCTGTCAGAACGGATCTGATGTTGCAAAACCCGAAATCCATAATGAAGCCAGGGTAAAATCACTGATGACGTGTACCGTAGGATTTTATAATTTTTTTTTTTAATATACAATTAATAAATAAACAATAAAATCCAAAATCACCTCATATGGGGAATAGCCTATTTCGTCACATGAAGATACCTGTCATCTGTCTTACCAACCATGGTGTGGACCGAGTTCGGGTGGTATATATATATATATATATATATATATATATGTGTGTGTGTGTGTGTGTGTGTGTGTGTGTGTGTAAAATTCGGGTAACGGAGGTTTGTTTTGATTTTGGGTTAGAGATGAAAACAACTATTTCAAATCAAATCATTCTTTGTGTCAGATTAGATACTTACGTTTCTATAGATTTATTTTAAAGTAGCTTATATTTGCTCCATGATTTAATCCGGATTTTCATATTTATTATGCGTCAGTGCGCATGCTCAGTTTATCCTTACTTTTTGCATTGCATACGCGGCCCTTGCAATTTCACAACGAACATGAATAAGTACTGAAGAACATTAGACATTGCACTGAAAGAAAGCCGCGATCATATCATCGACGTTTTCATATTCGCCGAGCGCTCTGACTATCCATATTCGTCCTACCTGTTCCGCTACGACACTCTGTCATTCCATATATTGTTTCTTTGCCCGTCACCCAACCAGCGATTTTCATTATTAAGCTAACGGTCTCTAGGCTCTAATGACGCATATATTCATGTATGGATGACCTGAATTTGAGAGTAGTTATGAACATGAAAAATTGTTGAGGATCAGGTGCCAGCAAGTGGTGGCGGTATATAAAAAAATATGTAGAAATATCCTCAGTGTTCTAGCTATAAATAAAATAGCAGAAGATATTGGGTCCTATAGCCTTAGTTGTCAACCAGCCTAAGAGAAGGAAAATTCAAATTCAAACTGTTATAGAGTAGTTTCACAGTGGAGGCTTGTATTTCAATAAGTCGGTCCTAAAATAGGTTCGACGTACAAAACGTTAGGAGCTTGATATAAGAGGTAATGACGCAGCAATCTAGTTGTGGTGGCTGATACTTTAATATCCGACTAACGGTCGTCCGACATCGACTGACTGACCAACTCGATATTTACTTCCCCCCACCCCCACGCGGGCATCATGTGGCACAAGGCCGGTTTAATGTGCAATCTCCGAGCCCGTTGGCTCGGCCAAAAATATGCCCATTGAACCCGTATTTAACTCCCCGAAAGAGAATCCTCCCTTCGGCGTAGCCTCTTTCGGGTTCCTCCCCGCCCGAAGGCAGAGAGTTCAACCGATCAGCCAGTCAACTGAGCGCCTGCTACTACTACTCCTACTTATTATAGGCGGGAGAGTCTATTAACTATAGAATAGGTGTGTGTTCCACTATAACACAAACCAGCTCTGCTGCCTTGTATGTCCTGCTTCTTTAGGCAAAGGCTAGAAGAAGATAACCGCAAAAAGAAATCCACCCCGCATGCCGTCTAAAAGAAAGGAGCTGCCACTACACTACCTTGAGCCGCGAGAGGCATTGATGGACTCCTCGGGCTTAGTACAGTGGTTCGAACAAGTACACGACAGGACAGGCACGGCGCCGTGGACTTCTCCGGCACTTTAGACGACGGCGAAGAGCAGTGTGTCTGACAGATCTTTTGAGGCCCAAAGCTTGGATGTGCGGATAGTGTATTTGATAACGGCTCATAATTGGAAAGTAGAGAGACGAGTTTCAATTCGAGGTGTGTTCATAATATTCACACATTGGAAAAGATATGAATCAACCTCTCATCACTCACACATGGGTTAGTTAACAGGGTTTTTTTATCAGTGAAATTCTTAATATCCAAAAACAAATTTTACAATATAAAAAATATTTTTTCTGCTTCCCAGTCATCTTCAAAAAAAAACAAATCAATTTCTGTCATATTTTCTTGTCATTTAAGAACAGTGTAGTCATGTGTGACGTCACGAGCTGCGACGCGATTTTCGCTTCCGCCTCTCGTATACACTTGTTAGTCATTGATTTGAAATTTTTCATGCAACAAAAACAATCTTTAGTGTTCCGTATATTGGTTGATATATTGAAAAGTAATCGTCATCTTTGATAATGGCTTATGTTAGCCGAAAGCTGAAATAGGATTTAAACATGTATCAATATGGTGATTTCCTTTCATCCTTCAATGATAATGTTATTAAGCATATCAGACAATATGAAAGGAACTTACTTAAAATAAATAGACAAAACTTGTTTATATTATTTAATGAAACATTCATCAATGAAAAATTGCAGCCTAAAATACAATATATATATATATATATATATATATATATATATATATATATATATAAAAGTGAACATAGAAGTCAACACTTAGAGGCGACAGTCTGTTTCATGCTATATGCAATCGTCAGGTCACGTGTGCTGTTATTTTTCTCGGCTATTTATATATGTACGGGTCAGTGGTGCATTGTGGGTAGTCTATTTTGGCGGTTATTTTACCGGAAGTCGTTTATTTTTTTATTTTTTTATTTGGGTTAAATTATTTTGCTTGTTTTTATTTATTTTTATTTTTATTTTTTATTTTTTTATTTTTTGTTTCTTATCTTATATATTTATTTATTTAATCTTTAATCGGTGTTTTTATTAAAGTAGTAAAAATTTGTTTATATCACTTATTTAATAGTTTTGTTTTGGTTTGAGAATTTAATTAAAACTATTTGTTCGGTTTTGGGGTTGATTGTTGTAGTTTATTCTAACTATTATTTTGGCAGGAACAGTTTTTAATTTGTGTTTATTTGGATTGATTATCTTTATTTGTTTTTTCTAACGGTAAATTTATCGGGATTGGTTTGTTTATTCATTTATTTGGATGAATTTAGGTCAATTTATTTTAGTTGTTATTATTTGTATATTTTCTCTTTTCGATTTTTGAGTACGTATAATTTTTTTATCGTTATATAACAGTTATAACTATTTTTTTCGATTTTTTGGTTTGATTTTTTAGTCTAACTAATATTTTGGTCATAATGGTTTGCTAATTTGTTTATTATTTACTTTATTTATTTGAGTTCGTTGTTTTTTGTTACAATTATTATTATTATTCTATTTCGTCTATTCTAAGAGTTGTGATTTGGTAATTTGTTTGGGTTAATTAATTTAGCTTATTTTATTGTTATTTTGTTTATTTGTTTATTTTATTTTATTTTTTCCGTTTTCGATTTTTAAGTAACGTAGTAAAAATTTGTTTTCATGTCTGCATTTTGAGATGAGCTCGGATCTTTTATTTAATAATTTATTTTGGTCTGGGAAAGTAATGATAGCTATTTTTTCCTCCAAGCAAAGTTTTCAATTTTTTGATTGGTTGTTGTAGGCTGATGATCTTTTTCTTATTTTCCAAGATATTTTTGGTGTGATGTGCGTTTTGTTTTTAATCTCCCAGATATACTTAGAAAGTATTGTACTGTTCGCATATTTATTATTTGGGAAAGATGTTTTGTGTGTAAAATTTCTTTGTTTCCAGGGTCCTTCAGTTACTCCTATGTATACTTTGTCTTCATTATCTGATGATTTTATCGTGACTTGGTATATAACGTTGTTTTGTAAACAATTACCGTTTAAGGGACATTCGTTCTTTATTCTGCAGCTGCACGTGGGTTTAATTTGTTCGTGTGGTTTGTTGATAGTTTTACTGGTGTGCTTTTTTATTATTTGTGCCATGTTCTCAGTGCAGCTGTAGCTGATTTTTACTGTGTTTTTGTTGAATATTTTGTGTAGGGTGTTTGTGTAAAAGTTTGAATCAAGGAATCAAGCACCCTACACGTGGCCTGACGATTGCATGAAACAGACTGTCGCCTCTAAGTGTTGACTTCTATGTTCACTTTTATATTTACACACGCTCTATCTCTGATATTGAGCACTTTATCCCATAAATATAGCACATCTTAAGATCATATTTCTTCATATATATATATATATATATATATAGTGTCTCTGTGTGTGTTTGCCTCCCGATAGGAGGAATATAATTTTTATAGTAATTCTGCTACTACTACTAATAATAATAATAATGATAATAATAATAATAATAATAAAGATCAACTATTAATAAATGCAGAAAAAATGTCTCTGCGCAGCTTGGATAGATACCTTAAAGCCTTTGATAATTGGCCACATTCTTGGATTCTTAAGGCTTTGGAAATGTATAACGTCTCTTGGGAGATAGTAAATTTCCTTAAATATACCATGAAGCTGTGGAAAATCACATTATACCCAAATCCCAGGAAAGGTGCTGCCTCTTCCAATTATCTAAATATCCGACGAGGAATCTTTCAAGGAGACTCTTTGTCGCCACTTCTGTTTTGTCTGTCCGTAATCCCAACTTTTGCATGAAGTAAACAGTCATAACTATGGATACAAAGTAAAACAAAAAGCATTTAATCGCCTATTCTCCATGGATAATATCATGGAAGGCAAAGATGACAATAAGTTAAAGGGTCTCCCCAAAACTATAAAATGTTTCAGTGACGACATCGGTATAGATTTCAGATTAGACAAGTGTGCAAAAATAACATTCAAGAAAGGAAGAATTACAGAAACACACTCAATAAATCTAGATTTTGTCACAAAGATTAAGGTACTGTAATAACAAGAAGCCTATAAGTAACAAGGAATTAGTGAAGGTGATGGAATACAGCATAACCAAAGGAAGAAGTTAAGAAAAGAATATTGCAGACGTGTGCATCTGGTTTTAAATACCAAGTTTAATTAAAAAACTGAATATCAAACATAAACCCCTCGGCTGTACCTGTGGGGGTATTCACTTTCAGCATCTTTAATTGGACCCAAGCTCATATTAAGGGAATGAATGGCAAAACGAGAAAGCTTCTCTCTTCACCGGTTTTGAATTCAGTAAAAACCCTAAATTCAAAACCGGCCTAGGTCCCCTCAGATTATGGGGGCTCCTTTCTCATTAGATTTTTTAAAACTACATAAGAATCAGTAATAAAATGTGTATACAGAAATTAAATTTTGAGACGTATACGTTCTAGTCCCTAAAACCGCATGTTTAGTACAAGGATTTAAGACATTTATCAGGCATTAGGAAGCCCTTCTTCTTCTTCTTCTTCTTCTTCTTCTTCATCAGATAGCACTTCCAAAAGGTTTTGAAAGTGCTATCTGATGTTCCGGCGTCCTTTAAAAGGGCTCTGGTGAAATAAATTATTATAATGGAACCTTAAAGTGGTCTGTTTTTCTTTAAAATATTAGCTCTGGATTTACATTGAGCTCTCAGGATTTCATCCTCCTTGGGACTACCCATACGGATTAGCAAGTTTTTCATAACTTAACTATATATATATATATATATATATATATATATATATAAAACATACACCTAAGTAGGTCAAGGGTATAAAACAGAAACCACCTGCCCATACCTTTCCAATCGTTCCCATTACTGTTGGCGGCAACAATCTGAAGTATGTGAAATCATTGCTGTACTTAGGAAGCAAAGTCAATTCAAGTGCCACTTTGGATGATGAAATATTTAAACGACTATCAAAGGCAACTAATGCCTTTGGGAAGCTTAAGCATCGCCTATGGGATGTTCATGGGATTTCACTGAAAACGAAAATTATTGTCTACTGTGCAGTTATTCTTCCACATTTCTTTATGAGTCAGAATAGTGGACGCCATACAGGGCGCACATCAATCAACGCTGTCTTCGTTCAATATGCGATTATACACGGCAGGACAAAATCTCTAACCCTGATCTTTTCATCAAATGGGGTGTCATGTTCAGATGGGCTGGTCATGTCATCAGAATGAGTGATGATCAGATGCC